ATAAATAAATAAATAAATAAATAAATAAATAAATAAATAAATAAATAAATAAATAAATAAATAAATAAATAAATAAATAAATAAATAAATAAATAAATAAATAAATAAATAAATAAATAAATAAATAAATAAATAAATAAATAAATAAATAAATAAATAAATAAATAAATAAATAAATAAATAAATAAATAAATAAATAAATAAATAAATAAATAAATAAATAAATAAATAAATAAATAAATAAATAAATAAATAAATAAATAAATAAATAAATAAATAAATAAATAAATAAATAAATAAATAAATAAATAAATAAATAAATAAATAAATAAATAAATAAATAAATAAATAAATAAATAAATAAATAAATAAATAAATAAATAAATAAATAAATAAATAAATAAATAAATAAATAAATAAATAAATAAATAAATAAATAAATAAATAAATAAATAAATAAATAAATAAATAAATAAATAAATAAATAAATAAATAAATAAATAAATAAATAAATAAATAAATAAATAAATAAATAAATAAATAAATAAATAAATAAATAAATAAATAAATAAATAAATAAATAAATAAATAAATAAATAAATAAATAAATAAATAAATAAATAAATAAATAAATAAATAAATAAATAAATAAATAAATAAATAAATAAATAAATAAATAAATAAATAAATAAATAAATAAATAAATAAATAAATAAATAAATAAATAAATAAATAAATAAATAAATAAATAAATAAATAAATAAATAAATAAATAAATAAATAAATAAATAAATAAATAAATAAATAAATAAATAAATAAATAAATAAATAAATAAATAAATAAATAAATAAATAAATAAATAAATAAATAAATAAATAAATAAATAAATAAATAAATAAATAAATAAATAAATAAATAAATAAATAAATAAATAAATAAATAAATAAATAAATAAATAAATAAATAAATAAATAAATAAATAAATAAATAAATAAATAAATAAATAAATAAATAAATAAATAAATAAATAAATAAATAAATAAATAAATAAATAAATAAATAAATAAATAAATAAATAAATAAATAAATAAATAAATAAATAAATAAATAAATAAATAAATAAATAAATAAATAAATAAATAAATAAATAAATAAATAAATAAATAAATAAATAAATAAATAAATAAATAAATAAATAAATAAATAAATAAATAAATAAATAAATAAATAAATAAATAAATAAATAAATAAATAAATAAATAAATAAATAAATAAATAAATAAATAAATAAATAAATAAATAAATAAATAAATAAATAAATAAATAAATAAATAAATAAATAAATAAATAAATAAATAAATAAATAAATAAATAAATAAATAAATAAATAAATAAATAAATAAATAAATAAATAAATAAATAAATAAATAAATAAATAAATAAATAAATAAATAAATAAATAAATAAATAAATAAATAAATAAATAAATAAATAAATAAATAAATAAATAAATAAATAAATAAATAAATAAATAAATAAATAAATAAATAAATAAATAAATAAATAAATAAATAAATAAATAAATAAATAAATAAATAAATAAATAAATAAATAAATAAATAAATAAATAAATAAATAAATAAATAAATAAATAAATAAATAAATAAATAAATAAATAAATAAATAAATAAATAAATAAATAAATAAATAAATAAATAAATAAATAAATAAATAAATAAATAAATAAATAAATAAATAAATAAATAAATAAATAAATAAATAAATAAATAAATAAATAAATAAATAAATAAATAAATAAATAAATAAATAAATAAATAAATAAATAAATAAATAAATAAATAAATAAATAAATAAATAAATAAATAAATAAATAAATAAATAAATAAATAAATAAATAAATAAATAAATAAATAAATAAATAAATAAATAAATAAATAAATAAATAAATAAATAAATAAATAAATAAATAAATAAATAAATAAATAAATAAATAAATAAATAAATAAATAAATAAATAAATAAATAAATAAATAAATAAATAAATAAATAAATAAATAAATAAATAAATAAATAAATAAATAAATAAATAAATAAATAAATAAATAAATAAATAAATAAATAAATAAATAAATAAATAAATAAATAAATAAATAAATAAATAAATAAATAAATAAATAAATAAATAAATAAATAAATAAATAAATAAATAAATAAATAAATAAATAAATAAATAAATAAATAAATAAATAAATAAATAAATAAATAAATAAATAAATAAATAAATAAATAAATAAATAAATAAATAAATAAATAAATAAATAAATAAATAAATAAATAAATAAATAAATAAATAAATAAATAAATAAATAAATAAATAAATAAATAAATAAATAAATAAATAAATAAATAAATAAATAAATAAATAAATAAATAAATAAATAAATAAATAAATAAATAAATAAATAAATAAATAAATAAATAAATAAATAAATAAATAAATAAATAAATAAATAAATAAATAAATAAATAAATAAATAAATAAATAAATAAATAAATAAATAAATAAATAAATAAATAAATAAATAAATAAATAAATAAATAAATAAATAAATAAATAAATAAATAAATAAATAAATAAATAAATAAATAAATAAATAAATAAATAAATAAATAAATAAATAAATAAATAAATAAATAAATAAATAAATAAATAAATAAATAAATAAATAAATAAATAAATAAATAAATAAATAAATAAATAAATAAATAAATAAATAAATAAATAAATAAATAAATAAATAAATAAATAAATAAATAAATAAATAAATAAATAAATAAATAAATAAATAAATAAATAAATAAATAAATAAATAAATAAATAAATAAATAAATAAATAAATAAATAAATAAATAAATAAATAAATAAATAAATAAATAAATAAATAAATAAATAAATAAATAAATAAATAAATAAATAAATAAATAAATAAATAAATAAATAAATAAATAAATAAATAAATAAATAAATAAATAAATAAATAAATAAATAAATAAATAAATAAATAAATAAATAAATAAATAAATAAATAAATAAATAAATAAATAAATAAATAAATAAATAAATAAATAAATAAATAAATAAATAAATAAATAAATAAATAAATAAATAAATAAATAAATAAATAAATAAATAAATAAATAAATAAATAAATAAATAAATAAATAAATAAATAAATAAATAAATAAATAAATAAATAAATAAATAAATAAATAAATAAATAAATAAATAAATAAATAAATAAATAAATAAATAAATAAATAAATAAATAAATAAATAAATAAATAAATAAATAAATAAATAAATAAATAAATAAATAAATAAATAAATAAATAAATAAATAAATAAATAAATAAATAAATAAATAAATAAATAAATAAATAAATAAATAAATAAATAAATAAATAAATAAATAAATAAATAAATAAATAAATAAATAAATAAATAAATAAATAAATAAATAAATAAATAAATAAATAAATAAATAAATAAATAAATAAATAAATAAATAAATAAATAAATAAATAAATAAATAAATAAATAAATAAATAAATAAATAAATAAATAAATAAATAAATAAATAAATAAATAAATAAATAAATAAATAAATAAATAAATAAATAAATAAATAAATAAATAAATAAATAAATAAATAAATAAA